TCTCTCTCTCTCTCTCTCTCTCTCTCTCTCTCTCTCTCTCTCTCTCTCTCTCTCTCTCTCTCTCTCTCTCTCTCTCTCTCTCTCTCTGTGTGCAAGTTTCTTCCTTGCACCTCATCACCTCCACGCTGCACATGTAACCCTCCCAAGCACAGCAGCTCACACTCACGGCTGCCCACACTAACGGCTGCCCACAACGCCACTGCGAGAGACTGAGAAGAAGGTGGGCAGCCAATGTCTTTAAAGGCTGGCCAACCGTGGGAACGTCGGTGCCAACAGGTCGGCGGCCTCCCAAGCCGCGCGGCGAACTGCCGACCACCCCCCGACCGGCCCAGACCCCAAAAACGGGGCCTTTGCAGTTCAGGCCGCCACCGCGGAAAAGTGCGGCACCCCGACTGCAGCCGACATGTCGGCGCCGACCGACCGACCGGTCGGCGGGTCGGCGGCCGACGGATCGGGGGGCGCCGACAGTCGGCGAGTGCAACACTGCCTGGGGCAATTTAAGGAGGCCAAGACCAACACATTCGGCAGTGGGGGAGACCAAGGGGAACGGGGCGCACTAGAGCAGGCGACTAGGATGAACGCAGCTGACTGGTGCGGCCATGGGTGTGCAACCGTGGAGGAGAGAGAAGGAGGAACAGAGACGACAAGGGGGATTGGGGGACTGAGGCCACCAGGGTGACCAGGGAGCGCTGGAGGGAAGTGACCAGGGAGAGCTGGAGCTGTTCCATGCCCTTTCGGGAGACCAAGCGGGCCTCCGCCATGGCTGCATGCCCGTTCTTGCAAGTACGTCGGTGCAGTTCTCAGAGGCGGCGATCAGTAAGGCGAGAGCTGTGATTACACTGGAACGAGACACAGAGAGGGCTACTGTCTCTCACTTCAGACAGATTCTACCATCACTGCAGATGAATATGAAACACCCTCGGCCGTCAAGCACCGTTAGTATGTGTGTGTGTGTGAGTGAGTGTGTGAGTGTGTGAGTGGGTGAGTGGGTGAGCGGCAGAGCTAGTGAAAGGATATGATCCCGTCTGCGTGTAAGTGGGCGAGCAGCAGGGAAAGAGACGCGCACAGTGAGCCAGCGAGTGATATTAATATTATTATTTTTATTGTCATTGTCATTATTACCATGACTGCTATTACTCCTTTGTTCTCTAATTGGATGTATGTGTCCCAGATAGCGCTCATGCCCGTCTGAAATTAAGCAGGCAGAACTGCGGTTTGAATGTGCGCAGATTAAGAAGGTTGGAAATAACGGGAGAGTGATCCTGAGAGAGAGAGAGAGATTGAGAGTATGATTAGTTTTGCTCATGCGGGAAATTGAGGGTGCACGTGACTGTGAGCGAGAAAGAGAATGTAAGTCAAGAGAGTGCGGGGGGGGGAACGAGCATCGTCTGGGTGTTTAATGTCCTGTTTCAGACTGCTAATACAGCCCCGATCATACTAACTAACTGGTGCAGATCGCTCCCATATACATGCCACCTGTAGCTGGGGAAAAGTTGAGAGATAGCTGGTGCGTTCGTGGGAGAAGAGAGAGAGAGAGGGCGCTGTCCTGTGGGAATCAATGAGAGAGTGAGAGAAAGACTGTGCACACAAAGAGAGAGAGAGAGAGAGAGAGAGAGAGAGAGAGAGAGAGAGAGAGAGAGGGGGCACAAGCAAGAGAGAGAGCCGCATAATGGTTGAGCAGAAGAGTGTGACCTCGTGGCTGCATGTGCGGAGCCGACTAGAGAGTTGGAAGCGGACAGGGAGTCCGCAGCGTTGGCACCAGTTAATACCTGTTTGTGGCAGCATGTGAACTGCAGTCTCCGCTGGGAGGGAAATGACAATACGTCTAATCAGGAGCGAGGTAAATCCTACGCGTCTGGCTAAAAATGTGGCTGGGTACGTTCTAGATAGGGGAATTGCCAGTGTGAATCTTATCAGATCAAGGAAGATGAATGAGAGAGCGAGACTGCGCAGAGATAGAAAGAGAGAGACCGCAGTGAGAGAGGGAGACTGCGAAGAGATAGAGAGAGTGTGCAGTGACAGAGAGAAAGAGAGACTGTGCAGTGGCAGAAAGAGAAAGAGAGACAGTGCAGTGACAGAGAGAGAGAGAGAGAGAGAGAGAGAGAGAGAGAGAGAGAGAGAGAGAGAGAGAGAGAGCTCGAACTGGCTTGGGAAAACCAGTGGGAATAGGAGATCCATACAACTGTACTGGTCGACTGGGAGAAAGAGTGAACAGCAAAAAGAACCTGGTCATGATCGTGCACCAGGTGCGTGATACCCGGATCAGTTTCGTGGTGTTCATCATTGGCAGATCAGTCATTGGCAGATCAGACACCCGCTGATCATTGGCAGATTTCCGGATCAGTTTCGTGGTGTTCATCATTGGCAGTTCAGTCATCGGCAGATCAGACACCCGCTGATCATTGGCACCCGGATCAGTTTCGTGGTGTTCATCATTGGCAGATCTGACACCCGCTGATCACTGGCAGATTTCCGGATCAGTTTCGTGGTGTTCATCATTGGCGGATCAGTCATTGGCCGATCAGATACCTGCTGATTATAGGCAGATTCCCGGATCAGTTTCGTGGTGTTCATCCTTGGCAGAATTGTTCCCTACTACAGTGCAGACATTTGCTGTTCGCTGGCAGCCCCGTCCCATAGAGCTCATTGGGGAGTCAGACTCCCGTTGCTGGTTGACCGATCAGGTAGACTTGAACAATGGGTGTGATGCGAATGTAGTGTGAACTCTTGCTGTCTACAAATGTCGGGTTTGCCCTATACTTTAATCACTATTGTACTGCTCTCCCTGGTGCTCTCTTTTCGCCAAAAATACCTCTGCTATCTCTGTTCATTTTGGTACGAGTAAACTTGAGTTCTGTTCCTGCGGATCTGAGATACCGCAGGCACGGTCACTGACACGGGCATGTCCTTCATTTCAGATCTGCTGGACGGAACATTTTATTTTATTTATTTATTTATTTATTATTTATTTTGATTATCGGAAAGTGAGTTTGGGCACTCATTCTAAAGCGGGGGCGTGACAGGCATTCCAAACCCCTAACCCCTGCTGGTTGCTGAGGACCTCGGAAGCGGGCGCAGCGAGTGACAGGCGCTGTTGCCCCTGGCTTCAGCGAACAGTAGGTGACCCCTCCCCAGGTTTCCTCACACCGGAGCGCTCACACATCCTTTCTCTGACACAGTGTCCACACACTGTTCACACGCACTCATCTCTGGATCACCCTGGATATCCCACGCACACAACCCTGTACCCACACACACACACTCACATACTGATCTCTATCTCTAAGCTACAACGGCTATGGCCTCCTAACCCCTACTGGCTATGGACACCCTATCTCCCTTCAGCCCACTTCGACCTCGGGCATCTGCAGACCACCTCGCACAAAACGCTAGGGCAGCGCTTCCACATGGCTCACGCAGGAATGAATGAACGGCTGGGCGCTTCCTATTGATTTATACTTCTGTAAGTCGCTGGTGTGCCCCTTTCCACCGGGCCCATGGTGCACACAGTCCCTCATGGTACTTGCTGACTGTACAAAGTGAGACGGGGACTGGGTACCGCTGACCAAGCGAAGTTGGACTCACCACTTGCCCACTTGCCTCTGGTCTGCTGTGTATAACGTGAGAAGAAATTTGAAAGGCCACTTCCGGACTTTCCGGAAGTTTGCGGACTTGGCCTTTCAGGACTGCAGCAGCTAAGACCTTGACCTTTCAGAACTACAAGGTTACATGTTGCGGCTTCGCCCGCAAAAAAATGAAGGGGGTGAAAATGAGGGTCGGTGGGGGGTTGTTGGTCTGGGTATGGGTGTGGGTGTGGGTGGGGCCGGGGTGTTCTTAAGGATCACCTGCGCACTGTTGTTGATACTGCAGATGCAATGCCGCTGGTGCTTTGTATGCCTTGAATATATGTTTTTTCTTCGTCTTTTTTTGCTTTTTTGTCCTGTCAGAGACCTGATCACAGTTTGCATTCCTTTCACTTCAGGTTTGCTGGGCAGGTGGTGGTTCGGATTTGAACTCGCCTGTTGTGTGTGTGTCACACGTTGCATACCTGTCTCCCCCTCACCACAAACATTCTTTCTCAGATGTCGGGAGATACGCAATTCTGTGATCGTGTGGGGGGAAAAGGGGCAGGCCGTGCAGTTAGATTGGGGTCTCTCTCTCTCTCTCTCTCTCTCTCTCTCTCTCTCACACACACACACACACACACACACACAAACACAAACACACACACACACACACACACACAAGCAACACATGCTATTTCTTTTAAACGTCTCAACAGACCACGGACAAGATATGAAATTGATTGCAGCAGATACTACACTTGATCGCGGGGGATGGGGTGGGGTGGGGTAGCAAGTAGTTAGTTAGATTGGGTTCTCTCTCTCTCTCTCTCTCTCTCTCTCTCTCTCTCTCTCTCTCTCTCTCTCTCTCTCTCTCTCTCTC